CCCCAAAACCCCAAAACCCCAAAACCCCAAAACCCCATTTAAAGAAAGATATATTGATTTTATAAAAATGGATGGGTATTCAAATTATCGTATGAATGAAATTGTCGATGCACAGCTCTGGTATGGAAATGATGAGGACGCTGTTCAGAGAGCTATACAGATGTCCCTTGTAACCCAACCTTTGCCTCCAGAGGAGGCAAAGGTTGGTGATGACTTTGTTAATGAGCTTTATGGAGTTCCTCCAGATCAGCCTGATATTATAGAAAATGAAGCGCCTTATGCCTCTAATCATGCTCATAGGCTAGCAAGAGAAAACCAGATTGAAGGTATAAACATTGGGGATTATGACTATGAAGAAGTTCTTGATGATGCCATTAAAGCATCAGAAAGAGCAGCTAAGCGTTTGAATCGTGAAGGACGAGAAAGACATAACAGAATCGTAAGGGCCCAAGGCCATCGCAATCATCGTGATGCTGCTCAAAACGATCTCCTTGCCAATCTTTCTGGAAATAGGATAAGAGATCGGGCAAATAATCCTCTTTCAGATATGGGAGCTCAAGGAGTCAAATTACGACCAGGAGTCAGAAATATTCGTAAACCTCAGAGAGCGAGTCGAGTAGTTCCTAGGGTTGCTAACAACCATAGAAGAGCAAGGCCTAACTATAGGAGAAGGGAAGACCGAAATCATGGCATGCAGGTTGATATTGATAATATGAACTATGATCAAATCTTGGAGCTTCAAAATAACATTGGAAGCGTAAGTAAAGGGTACAGCCAAGAAGAAATTGAAGCGATTCCAATCACCTATTCGTTCCCTGAAGAACCTTCCAATTGCCCTATATGCTTAGATGATATTGAGAGTGGAGCTCCGATTCTCAGCATTTCGTGCAGGCATGAATTTCATCTAGATTGCTTGCAGAAGTCTTTAGAGAGTAACAAAGAGTGTCCGATTTGCAAGGAAGAGGCATTTGTACTCTCATAAATCCCTTCGTTAATACCCAATCTGAAGACTATGATCTTAAACAACTTTCAATCATTTATTAAAATGTGGGGTTTTGGGGTTTTGGGGTTTTGGGGTTTTGGGG